TGCTGCTGAGCTAAATCCCCAGCCCCATCCTGAGTCTCTTGTAGTTCTTTGTACATTGTCTTTTCAGACACTTACAAATGCTTTTACGCGCAGAGCCCTTCTCTGCGCCGTGACCTGTCTTCTCCCTGTCACCGCTCCAGAGTTTGTCTGGTCTTACTCTGCTGCAGCAGCCTCTGGTCGCTTTGTTGGAGATTTTTAGACATTTTCTGGCCTTCTTTCTTCCTGCCGTCTTCTGAGAGCAGCCAGTTGCCCTAAAATTTAGCAAGGGGTACCATAGCTTCTTGCCTACCAATAGAAGATGAAATCCACCTTTAAAAATTGAGTCTTTCAGCTGGGCTTGGTGGCACATGCGTGCAATCCCAACACTCAGGAGGCTGAGGCAGGAGGATTGCCATAAATTGAAGGCCAGCCTAAATTACAGAGCAAGAATCTGTCTCAAAAAAATTTTTGGAGGGGGAGTCTTTCAAAGGGACACTTGCTCTTACTGTGCTGGATCCTCTATACCAATTATGATCTCCCACACATTTCACAGGCCTCTAGAGGGTTCCCTCTTCTGCTGCTGGAGGTTAATCACAGGCTAATTCACTTAAGCCTCAATCCTTTTTAGAAATTCTCCCTGCATTAGAGAAGCGACTTGGGGGAGGAATCTAGAAGCTCAGTGGGAGAGATGAGCAAAAGCTGGAGGAGGTAGGTTCTCCAGGTTCAGTTTCTGAGGAGTGCTTTGAAAGGGCCGATGGCTCGGGGTGGATGAAGACCTGTTCCTGTCACCAGGGTAGTGGTGAACTTGTCACCAAGCAGAGTGCTGAAGTCTTCTCGTACGTTGTCCCTTAACACAGCCCAGGTGGTGTCATTGTCATGACAAAGAGGGACGCTGAGGCGCAGGAGGTGTGATTTGCCCGAGGTCACCTCGCTGGTCCGTGGGGAAGCCAGCGTTCCTGGCTGAAAGTGCGTGTGTGCCGATGGCTCCCTGGGCGTGGCCTGACCGCGGATGCTCCCTAAGTGCCCTCGAGCGTGAAGCCGCAGATGCCTAGGTGAGCGGTGCCAGCACACGAGCCGCGCTGCCCCAGCAGCCTCGCGTCAGTTTTTCCTGTGTTTTTTTGTTTTTTGTTTTTTTTCCAGTACCGGGAATTGAACTCACAACCTTGCCCTTGCCAGGCAGGCGCTGTGCTGCTGAGCTAAATCCCCA